ACTTAAATTTAATTTTAATTTTACTAGTAGGAAAGGTAAAATTAAGTTAAAGTAAAACGTAAACGACTAACTTAATTTTTACTTCATCGATTTATTTTTTGGATTGTGACATTATTACAATTAAGCTTAGCAAACTTGGATTATCTTAAATAATGATAAATTATAAATGATAAACAGTTATAATCAATAATACTAATTTCAGTTAATTGATTATTTTCTTGATATTAATTGAATTAATTGTAATTTAAATTAAGGATTATTTTATGTGATGCTAATGTCCAGCTTTTAATTTGGTAAGGACTGGTCTCTTCTACAGTTAGAAGTTTCTAATATTCTGTCTATTAGGTATACATTTATTGATGAAATCTCTTTCCCTAAATACCATGTCTGAACAGAAAGTTAGCAATCATCATTGCCTTTCACAGATTCTTATCCTTTACTGTTTTCAACACTTCTCCTTCATTCACGTTCATTCATTAACTGAGACCACTGATGTTATTCAGTCAGCCTATATCTGCTTTGTTTTTATTCAATTTTTTCTTGTTACTGCTAAATTTTTTAGCTTGTTTTTTCTTATTAATGGCTCAGGAACTAGAGTTCTCTTCTTCTAACTGTTTTAGTGAAAAATGCATAAAAATCTTGTTTATAGATATTCGCAATTTGTAATATTTGCTAATCGATTAATTGATTGGTTCATTATTCAATTAGTACATGCTTCTTACAGTTTGTGTGAGCAAGAAAAAAGGTGAAAATGGGATGTTGTTACCTTCAACCACTGTATTATTCCAACATTATATTAATCTTCCTATTTTCATTCACATTGTTTTAAACAAGTTTTGAATTGCTCTTGATTTCACATGAAAGACCTTTTCTGGAGGATGCCATTTGCAAATTTTGCAAAAAAACATTTTTTTTGTCACAAATTTTAGATAGTTTCTACTTGGCGAGTCATATATTAATGTCAACTAGATACCACCACATAGTTTCCATTATGTTTGTTTTTCAAATATGTAACAATCCTACATGAATCTCCTGTAAATCAAATATATAGATATTAAATAATGAAAACATCTTTTACTATCAGCAATAAATGCAGTAATGATTGCAGTTATAAATAATTAATTATCCATTTAGCAAATTTTTGTTCATTGATTGAATAGAATAAACAAAAATAAAATTCAATAAATATTTGAATCATCAGAATATTTTGAAGTTATCTAGTCTACTAACTAAAGAATAAACTTATCTTATGTGATGATGACTATTTTATTTAGTGAACTTAAATTTAAAAAACTTCATGTTTACAAACATTGCAACTCAATAAAGCAACAGCATATCTATTAAAAGTCAAAACACATTTATTTTCTATGTTTATTTTACTGTCAATGACTAAAGTAGAACCCCCGCTGAAAATAAAGCAATAAATTGCCACATGTGTCAGTAGACTATTTACATAATACGATACCCTTGAAAGTAATGAAGCACGTGCAAACATATAGCCAACTTGATACCTGCTCCAAGAACAGGATGTTTAATGTTTTCTTGGAAAATTCAGAGTTATCACACTGCACTCAGAATCAGTGAAAACAGTGATAACAGGATATGTAATTTATCGGCTTATGTATGTATCCTACAGTGTTCACAACAAGACTTTTCAAGAGTAACAACACTACACTTTGAACCTGTCAAAACATTTATTATCTTGTTTGGTGCCGATACAATAAACATTGCAATTCTTTGAATATTGGTAATCCTTTTGGGGTGTTTGTAATTTAGCAACATAGGTGTACAAAGATGTTATTTGAGCACATGCTTATAAAATACTATTTCCCTTTTCAGCACTTAATTGTCAATCAGTAAAAACTCTAGTTTC